AATGAATGCTTTGTTTGATATTTATGATCTATGATAAAGAAAAGATCTTCAAAAATATTAGGTAGCATATGATATTTTATTCTAAACACGAATAAAAGAATATTATAAATATTTAATTGGTAAACATTCAGCACTCCAAGCTTACGAAGCAGTGGATTGGCACTGGTGTATTTATTAGCATTTAATATAAGGCGGCTTGCTTGTTTTTGCTTTTTTAAGATACAAGTTAATCTTGACGGATAAGTGCTTGCCCAAGCAATGTTACAATAACTAATATAGCTATGAATAAATGAAAAGTAAATAGATTTTAAACAGTTTTTATCCAACATATATCTAGTTTTATACATGATTCCAATAGTTTTTGAAATTTTATTTTCTATTAGATTAATATGCTCTTTCCAATTTATTTGCTCATCGATTAAAACGTCTAAGAATTTAACACAGTATGCCCGTTGCAATTTGGTTTTTTCTATTAAAATATCCGAGAATTTTAAAGGCAACGTGTCAGATTTAGAGGATTTAGAAAAGAGAGTATATTTGCTTTTAGTAGGATTCAGAGAGAATTTGTTGGCTTTAAACCATTCATTAAGGTTATCAAGTTCACTATTCATAGTGGTAAAGATTGTCTTAATGTTAGAGTGAGCATAAAAAACTTGAGTGTCATCAACAAAAAGATTAAAGTTTAGTATATTAGATGATAAATAAATATCGTTGATATAAATAATAAACAACAAAGGCATTAGAATAGATCCCTGTGGAACTTTGCAGGTAATGTTTTCTAATTTAGTGTAGGTTTTGTCATACACATTGTTTGCGATTTTTAAGATAGGAACAAAACCATTTAAAATTATTATTTTTGATTCCAAAAATTTCAAGTTTGTAAAGAAGAATATCATGGTCCACAGTATCAAAGGCCTTAGAGAGGTCAATAAACACTCCAAGAGTATATTGGTTGTTTTGAAACCCATTTAATATTTCTTTAACTAATTTAATTACTGCATGTTCTGTCGAGTGTCCTTTTCTAAATCCGTACTGATTATTATTTAAAACTGTGTGAGTTGTGAGATAATTGTAAAGCCTATTATGCATTATTCGCTCTAGAATTTTAGAAAAACATGGAAGTATTGAAATAGGTCTGTAATTAGATAACTTTAAGATATCACCATCCTTAAATATTGGAACTACTCTTGCTTGTTTCAAGAGATCAGGAAAAACGCCATTTTTAAATGAAAGATTAAAAATAACAAGTAAGGAGTTCTCAATAATATCAAAAACTTCTTTAACAACCTTTGAGCTTATACCATCAAGGCCTGCGCTTTTGTTCATCAGGCGATACCTCAAGCTCATCCATTACATAGTCCTTTTCTTTAAGATATGATTTAAAGTTTTTTTTTCCTGGTGTTATTTTGTTTGCTAGGTTTTTACCCACGTTTATAAAAAAGTTATCAAAACTGTTTGCAATATCTTTTTTCTCATTAGTTATTGTTCTTTCATCCTAAGTATATAAATATTTCGGTAAATAATTACCACGAGTTTTCTTTTCTTTTCCTATCACTTCCTTTATTATATCCGAAGTTTTTTTGTTATTTCCAATATTATTTTGTAATAAAGTTAAGAAATAATTTTTTTTAGCTTTTTTTTTCAAGTTTTCAAACTGGTTTTTGTAATTGTTATATTTTTTTTCGCTTTGATAAGTTGTTTTTTTTAAATATTTTTCGTTTTGATAAGTTTTTTTTTTTAAATATTACTTAAAAGCCTACAAAGTCCTTTTGTAATCCATGGACTTTGTAGGCTTTTAAGCTTGGTTTTAGTTTCCTTCATGGAAAACGTTTTTGTCCTAAGCATTAAGAAACTCGTTGGAAAAACCAAAAAAAAACCAAAAAAAAAAAAAAAAACTTGTGTAAAGATTAAGGTGGAATACTCCTCAGAAATATGAAAACTTTGAAAAAAAATATTATTTTCTGCAAAATTTATCAGAGATTCACATTCTCAAAACCATTTTAAAAAATTTGCTATAGATCTTTATTAAACTAAAATTTATTGAACCCAAGAAATTTTAATTTTTATAACAACTGCCATAGCAACAGCACTTTTTTTTCATCCTAACTAAAAAATCCTCTAAAATCATCTTTTTCTGTTTGAAAAATATACTAAAAAAAGGAATTTTATTTTCTATTGTTTAAAACTACTTTAGAATAAAAGCAATCGCTGGAATGCTCATTTTTATTCTTTTAAAATGGTTAAAGCTTTAGAGTTAAAGAAAGAACTAAAGGAAATAAAAGAAAAAAAATGTTTTGTGGAAAGAAGAAATTAGTTGTAGATAGTGCGGATATGGATGTAAATAATAGATTAGCGGATAATCTAAATATAGAGTCAAATTGTGTAGATACCAATGTTAATATTACTAAAAGAGATGAAGATATAAATGTAAATCTGATAAGAACTGTTGATTTTAATGTAATTGGCTCTGATTAAATTAGTGCTTCTGCCAAAAAAATTAAAAACATTTCATCGTTAAGACCCATAATATCGAGTAGCTTAATTACAGGATACCGTTTCATTGATCTAGAAATACTTAACTCTGTAGTTTCTACTCTTAGATGTCTAGAATGCATGTCATTAGAGCTATTTCTTTCAGAAAACGAAAACAAGAAAAAAGGTCTAGCTTCTTATCTTTATATTAACTGCTTTATATGTAATTACTCAAAAGAACTTTACTCATCGACATTCAACAAACAAAAAAGTTTTGATATAAATACCAGGGTTGTATATGCCATGAGATCATGCGGTCAAGGTTATTCTGGATTTTCGAGATTTGTTTCATTGATGGACATGCCCAAACCAATGACTATTAACAATTATAATAAAATTGTTTTAAAATTAATAATACAGTAAAATGTGTAGCTGAAGACACAATGATGGATGCTGCTCAAGAATTAAAAGATTTGAAAAATAATAATTTTGTTTTAAACTCCATTACTGACCATTTGCTCAATGCAATTGATGTTGCAGTATCATGTGATAGAACTTGGCAGCGGCGAAAACAATGGAGTTGTTTCTGTTATTTCAATGGAAACAGGCAAAGTATTAGATGTTGAAGCAATGAACAAGGTATGTAAAGGTTGTTTTCTTAAAGAACACTTAAAGAAAGAAAACGCATTTTTTTATGAAAAATGGCACAATAAACACAAATGTACTTATAATTATCAAGGACTAGCTGGTGATATGGAGCCAGAGGGAGCCCGCAGAATATGGAATAGGTCTATTACAAAACATAGTCTGCGATATACTGAATTTTATGGTGATGGAGATGAAGCAAAGGCTATGATGCTGTTAAAAATGTTTATGAAGGTATACAAGTAAACAAACTTGATTGCGTTGGACATGTTCAAAAAAGAGTTAGAACTAGCTTACGTAACCTTAAAAAAAAAGAAAAAGGTCTAGGTGGTCGCGGAAAATTGACTGATGCAACTATTGATCGTCTTCAAAATTATTAGGGCATACCTATTTGCCAAAACAAAAAAGATTTAAACGGTATGAAATCTGCTGTGAGAGCTACGCTTTATTATGTAGCCTCATCAAAAAATGAAAATTGACATTTTCCTCACTGTCCTGATAGTGCAGATAGTTGATGTCTGTATAATCGCGATAAAGCAAATTATACCTCGACATATAGGCCAAGCCCTGGTTTACTTATATCGATTGTTTGGAAACTTAAACCAATTTATGATGAGTTAAGTAATGACATTCTTTTAAAAAAATGTCTTCATGGCTTTACCCAAAATAACAATGAATCATTTAACATGACAATATAGGAACATGTACCAAAAGGCCATTATGTTTCGCTTACACATCTTCAGTTTGGTGTTTATGATGCAGTTGCTCATTTTAACATTGATAAACAAGCTAGCGTGTTAATTTTAGAAAAAATGGGTTTGAGACCTGGAATGTACTTGTTAGAAGGATGTAGGCAAATAAATAAAAAACGATTATATTTAGCCAGATATAAAAATTTAAACCAAGTAAAAAAACACTGACAAATAATTCGAAGAAAAAAGAAGAACAGATATGATAAATCTTTTAAAAAAGATGAAAACCTTTATGAAATTGGTGCATTCTGAGATTTATCTCATTTGTTTTATCATGATTTGCATATTTATGTATATTATTTAGAAATTTTTCATGTAAGCATTTTTAAAAGCTGTTTTTCTCAGATTTATAAAGGTTTATAAAGACGCCAACCAACATATTTAAAAAACTATAAGTGGTATAAAGATGAAATTTTTAGTATAAATGCATTTTATTGCTTTCTGTGATTTAAGTGTGACAGATTTTTTATGAAATTATTTCTAGTCCTGGAAAAGGTCAACGAAGTCACAAAATTCGGGTAAATTTTTTGCCCAATTTTGGTCCCACTTTTTAGCCTATTAAAAAATCATATTAAAAATTATATCACAGAACAACCTTGCAAGAACAATAATCCAAAAAAGTTTTGTTAAAATTGCGTAGATCTTGAGATGTTAAAAGACCCCGCTGGCCGGGGTCTCTTAATAAGTTTGTGGATTTTGGTCTATTTTACATGTGCCATTTTACCAAAAAAAAAAAAATTTTTTTTTTTTTAATTAATTTTGTTATTTACAATATGTATATAAAGTTGAATTATATAAAATAATAGTTATTACTTAAAAAAAATTATGAGAGAAAAATAAAGAAAACTATCGGTTTATAACTCTTATCGGTAAACTAAATTAATCCAAAAAAAAAATAAAATAAAATCTGGTTTTCTTAAAAATTTAATTTTTATTTTAAATATGCACAAAAATAAATATATGACCTATGTAAAAATTATTTCAAAATATTTAATGTTTCTCAGGATAATAACCTATTTCCCTTTTTTAGTGGTGCGACGCATAGTACATAAAAAGAAAACGGAAAAGAAAATCGAAAAAACTTTTAATATTATAAAAGTAAAGTATATATTTAAAAAAGTGTGTCATAAATAGTTTTTTAAACTATATTAAATAAACATGCAATTATCATTATAAAATACAATCATTGTTAAAAATTTAGTAGATTGTGATAACAAAAAAATCCGTTATGAAACTCAAACGTGCTGTTACGATACTTGCTTTCTGTTACATTCCACTTTTAAAAAATACTTGGATAAATGAATCAATTATCGAACACGCAAATCCTAGAAAAAATAAAAAAAAAATTAAAATTAAAAAGAGTAATAAAGATCACCACCTAACGGTGGCTAGGGTAAAACCACCTAACGGTGGCTAGGGTAAAACCACCTAACGGTGGCTAGGGTAAAACCACCTAACGGTGGCTAGGGTAAAACCACCTAACGGTGGCTAGGGTAAAACCACCTAACGGTGGCTAGGGTAAAACCACCTAACGGTGGCTAGGGTAAAACCACCTAACGGTGGCTAGGGTAAAACGCTACTAAAAACATATACAGATAAATCGTTTCGTTGAAAACTTTTTTTCTGTTTTCTAATTTCTTAAAGTTTACGTTTAGTTGCATAATTGTTTGCGTTTTAATTAAACTTAATGTTTGAACTGAGTTCTTTGAAAAAATGGTTGAAATCTCTGAGTCAGAAATGTGAACCATTTTTTTTCATTTTAGCCAGGGACCACAGAGGCTCTAAAATTTTTGCTTAACCCCCTCCCCCAATGCCCCAAACATGAGAGCAACAACTTGATAAGATACTTTTTGCACTAATCTTAACTAGATTATACTCATCAATAAAATTTAGGTTGGGTTTTTGCGACTATTTCCGTTTGATAATCTTACACCAGTACATTTTGTCTGTGTTTGGAAACTGTTGAAGGAACAGTTGATTGAAGGTGATTTCAAGAGGTCTTCTTTTGCTAATGTTATTAAAGAATCTGTAAAAATGTGTTGGCGAATAGCCCACTCTTTTGTGCAGCCATCTTTACAGACTTTAACTACAAATGTCTACTTAATGAAGAACAGTAGGTATGTATTCTTATTAATTATTTAGATTAACATTTTTTAAACTTCTAATAAAAATGAAATTGTCATATTTAAATTTTTGGCTTTGATTATTTCTATAAAAAGTTAAATACAAATAATTTTAGTAAAGGAAATTTTAAATTAGGAGAGTTTATAAATGACCGCTCTACCACTACACATCTACCACTACACATCTACCACTACACATCTACCACTACACATCTACCACTACACCACTATTTTAATTTAACTACAGGTAGTTGCTAATTCAATTTTAACTACAGGTAAAAGATACTGTTGCTGAAGATAGTCTATGGTTGTTGCTAAAAATCACAAAATACAAAGTTTTAAATTTATTAATTAGATTAAAAGCTTGCAGAATTGTTTCTACTGAGAGTTCGAACAATCGGAAGACTCGACTCCAAAATTTTTAAGAGTATGGATGGGACAAGAAAAGAAAAAAGCTAGCAGTATAGTCAAGATTTTATCTAAAACAAGAGAATGGAAGAGAAAAAAATTCAAAAACGCACTTCAAAATCTGCTAAAACTTGTGCAAAATCTACGGAATAAACGACATTTATAAATGCTTTAGAGGGATTAAAACTTTTCTCTACTATTATCCGAACAAAATGCGAAATTCCAACCAATCCACTGACTCAAGCTAGCGTTTAATTGGTGGTTTCTACACTTAAATTTAAAATAAAGCATGTAAACTACTTAACTAATAAATTAATAAACTAATTAATTAATTAATAAACTAACTTAATTGTAAATTATCATTTTAATTATATAAGTTGTGAATAATTATTTAAACTAATGAACAACTTTGTCAACCCACACATAAAATAATAAACAAAGATTGAGGTTGTTTTTATATTTTTTAAAATCTTAGCATTTAAAAAAGAGTTTCTTCAAAGGTAGTAAAAAATTAGAAAGCTAAATTTCCTTAAAATTTTTATTTATTTTATATTCTAAACTATTCCAATTATAATTTACCAAAAAGCAGAAAACCAACTGCCCTACTATTAATCATCTATCTGTAAATAACACCGATGAGTATTTGACTTTAAGAAAATCCCGGACATTTTTTGCTATGAAAATCCCGGAAAATCTTGTAAAATTATTTTAAATTATTTAAAAATTGATCCGATTAACAGATAACAAAAACTTTCGTAAACTTTTAAAACGGAATTTATATTATTTAATTTTTCACAAAAAGGAATTTCTTATATTCGAAAAAGGTAATTTGAATGAATTAAAAAGCAAAAAAAAAAAAAAGAAAAAAAAATTGTAACGAAAATTGGCATCGTGAAAATTTTAATTATAGAAAACATATTCGTTTAAATGCAAAAGTTGTCGTATTGAAAACTTTATGTAAAAATATATACATTTTATTTCGAATCAATAACAAAAAACATCCAAAAATGTCTGGAAAATTATAGGAGTTTTAATTCAATTTCCGGAATTCCCGGAAAAAACTCATCTAAGAAATAACAAATATCGAAACTGCAAATATTAAATAAAATTTTTGATATTTGCAGAAAAACGATTGTAATACTATGAACAAGAATTTGGATTCATTAAGCCAAAAGCTTGGAATTTTTATTTCCTATTTATAAAAATAAATAAGATTTATCGAAATATATATCAAAATTTCTATTTTCATGAAATAAGGAATTTAATTTTAAACTAGAAATTTGGGGCATTTTGCGCACAACCGCAACTACAGCAACTGCCCAACTAAAAATAATAAACTGCCAAACTAAAAATAAAGATTTTGAGTCTTTACTATTCAGAACTACTTATAGAAAGTTTTTTAATCATTTAAAATCCTAAAACATACCACAACTTTTGCAAGCATCTATAGCTGTTTGATACTGTTGAGCATATAAAGTAAGTTGGTTGACAATTGCATTAAGAACTGTGTCTTGTTGAGCTGCATCTAAGCACACATCATATAAACTTGGTCGTACAAAGCTGTTAGCAGTGCATACAATCAAATCTCGGATTTGTTCAAGGTGCTTTATAAAAAAATGTTTTTATATTTAAAAAATAAGCAATTTGTTTAACTAAAGGTTTGCTTTTGAATATTTGTTAAAAAAATATGTATATTTTTAAAAAAGCCACATTTTAATTGCAAAAACAAACACTTACTGCTAAAGTATTGTTGCGTGCAGAATATGCCATTGCCATTTGCTTATTTAGCTTAGTCAACTGATCAACTAAAGTGTCTAGATTGCAACCTAAAGAATAAAAAAAAAATAACTCTGTGAATAACGTTAACATTATTATTGATAAAGAACATAAAATTTAAAGTCATTTTAATATTAAAATTATACAAAAATTTGTAGAGACCACAAAATCTATGGGAATGCATGCACTCAATGGTCTTTATGCAATCAATGCATGCATGCAATCAATGAATGCATGCAATCAAAGGTCTTTAAATAAGAGATTTTTTTTAAATTTGCCTGAAAACTTTTTTTTCTTTTTATTTAAGTATTTTGATGTTTCACAATTTGAGTTCTTTAAAAATGTTGTATTAAATATTTGCAGTGAGATAAACTTGACAACAACTCTGAATCTTTTCACCATAAAAATGATGGAAATATTAAATTGGTCAAAAAAAAAAAAGAGGAATTGGTCAAAAGAATTTTTTTGTACAAAATTATTAAATATTTATAAATAAAATATTTAATAATTTTGTACAAAAACTATCCAATATCTTTTAATTAACATGAACTTTTTACAATAAACATAATAACTATTATTTTTGTTTCTACCATTTTTAATTTGTTAATTATAATATTGCTTTATCAAAGAATGATTAAAACTTAAAGGTGTCAGATACCATTAAAAATTAAAGGATTAAAAATTAAAGATTAAAAATTAAAGGTGTCAGATACCACAAAATAATATTGAATAATTTTAATGTTCTTTGTATTATTTTTATTTATTTATTTTGAAGTACTATCTGTAATTGCATATACTTAATAGTAAATATACAATATCATATATATATATTTGCATAAATAAAGTCAACCAAATATTGGGTCTTATTAGAAAATGCATTGGTCGTTTAGGAGCCCTGAGATAACTTCATGTTTCACTGTTTGAGTTTGCGGTACCGGTCACCAAATCGAAAGGATAAAATTGATTTATTAGAAAGAGTTCGACATCGTGCAACTCGTTCGTGCAACTTATTCGTGCAACTCAATTTAATCACTTGAGAAAATCTTCTATGAGAGTCTTGACTACCTTGACAAAAAGAGGAGAAAGAGGTGACGTGAATTGTGAAAACTTTTTATTTAATAGATCAGCAATTTATGAAATAGCTTGTCAAGCGAGTTGGTTAATGCACAATCAGTTAACAGTTTTAAAGCAGGTCTTGATTGCTGGATGAGCAGTAATTAAGCAAATCGGTAGTCATAGTGCGTTAGTACCACACTCACTGGCACAGACCAGTTACAATGGTTAGTGTTACTAATCCTAATACTATTATAATAATAGTTAATACAAATATTAATGAAGAATACAAAAGTCAATTATTATAAATTTTTCAAATTTTAAAACCTACATACTTGTTTTTTTTTATGGTGTCAAAAATAAATTTTAGCAAAGTAAATTTTTTAAAATAGTTTAGTTGGTTTTCAAACTAATTTTCAATATTAAAATTTAATAAAACTATTTTTCAAAATTAAAAATTAGTAAAACTATTTTTTTAAATTACAGTTTTAAACCAATTTTTCAAGCCAACAATGAAAACAATCTTTAACCCGTTAAAAGACCATGTCGTATTATTACGCAAATTTAAAGTAGTTTCTAAATGTCTATGCCGTAATATTATGTTAACTGAAAGTGGTCTCTAAATGTCCATGCCATAATATTAACGTTTATGTATTTCCTCATATTTCCTTCTTGTTCATCAGTAATTACACATCTAATCGTCACAAAATTTATTTCTACATAATTAGAGAGCTTTTGTTTCATTAATTCACTTTTACACGTGTTTACTTTAATTTTAAATATGACAAATAAGTTTTTTCAGTGCAAAAAAAGTGATCAAAAAGTAAATATTTACGAAAAGATAAAAAAATTATACATTTGATGAATCAATAATGAAAAGATATATTTAATGAATGATTATTGAAAATGATAATAATAGATTAATGCTCAAAGAAGGTGTTTGGTACCTTGCAAACACAAAAATGAAAAGATTTAAGATATGAATGCGTACAATGTGATGTAGGACTTTGTGCAACTCCATGCTTTTTCAATTATTATACAAAAAGTGGATATTAGTGAACACATTTTGAAAATTTTGTGTTTATGTAGTATGATTTATATATTCTTAAACTTGAATAATAACATTTTGTAGTGTTTAATAATGTTAAAAATAGTAAAAAACTATTTTTATTCTATTAATAAAAAAACGCAATGATTTTAAAAACACGGGGCAATTAGAGACCACTTCAAAAAAAAAAGCTGGACTAATAGCGACTGTATTTTAAAAACAACACGAGACTGTTAAAGAGTTAATGCATTTGTAAAACATATGGCGAGAACCATAAAGACTGCAGTAATATTACTTGAGTTATTAAGACCATGATGTAAAGTGTAAGATTATATAGTATCACTTAAATAATTCTGTGATGTAAAAGGATTTATACAATGATGAATGCAAGATTTTGTGATGTTTCAACTACAACACATTGAGGCATTGTAAAAACTATAAATTTAGGTATGTTCTGCTAATATAAAACAAAAATATTTGCAATAATTTAAAAAAATAATTGCATTAACTGAAACCTGGAAAGCCCACAGAGAAATATGAAACATTTCTATTGAAAAAAACTTTTTATATAAAGAAGGATAAGTAATAAAAAGAAAGAAAAGTGAACAGATATTCAGAATAAACACAGATTTATTTTAAAAAGAAAAAGCTTATACAAAATCATAGTCAACAGTAATTTTATTGTTAAACTATACTATACCTAAAACAAAGTATAACTATACTTTGTTTTATATATAACTATATATATATATATAATTAATTTTATATATAACTATATATATATAATTAATTTTATGTATAACTATATATATATATATAAAACAAAACAGGGCGCATATGAAAACATAAATCTTCATTAAATACAAATGTTTAACTTACTTTAAAACAACATAGAGATATTTAAAATAAATAAATAAAAAATGATAGGAAGTATAAGATAAAAAAAAAACATTTCTTTTGTATAGTCATAATTTATGTAGTGGTGGTAATAAACCTCTCCTCAGAATCATGTTTATTATAACCGGCATTTCAAAGAAGCAATAGCACCTTCACTACAACAAACAGCCAAAACCCTAAACTTCACTACAACAAACAGCCAAAACCCTAACTACACCCAAATTTGGAAAACACTAATATTTTTAATGAAATAATATGGAAAGCAAGAAATGTGAATTCAATATCAAATAACATTACAAAATGAAACATTATTTGTTTAATATATAAATGATACCGATATATAGATAGAGCAATGAGTTGAAAGAATATTTTAGTTTACTACCATATGCTAAATATAAATTAAGAGGTTTTAAAAATAATCTTTTAGTCTTGATAAAATTATGTGAAGTTCCATAACATAACAATTCTGTTAGAAAAAATAATTTCATTATTCATGTAAAAAATTTTGAAAAACCTGTGTTACTGTTGTACGGCTTAACATGCAGAGAAAAAAACTATAAAGTAAGTCAGTAGTAAACTATTAAATAAAATGACAACCCACATGAACTTATTTATAAAATTATGTTTATCTAATGGATAATTTTTTTTTTTCGACTTGCATAGACTATAATGAGATGGAAATACTATATGCCCTGCTTTTAAAGATCACTTTCGCATCTGTTTATAGAATAACTTCTACATTTAGAGTCAATGTAATAAGAAAATATCTTCTAACAACTCAACTGCCACCGCCTAAAAAATCTTATGATTTTATTATTTTTGACGATTCTTTTTCTAATAAAAGTAGTTTGGTTTCTCTGCCCCAACATACTTTTCTTAAAAATTTTTAAAAATAGTATTAAAAATGCTGTAAATTTGTAACTAAACTTTTAAAAAAATGGAATTACATTTTAATGACTTTTTAACTGCTTATTACTAATTGCCCTGAAATGTTTTTATATAATTAATACTAAATTCAAAATACATATAGTGTTTTTATCACTTTTATATCATTTAAACAATAAAATCTTTAATCTAAATAATATAAGCACTTTACATTTGTGCATGCTAATATTTTTTAATATTTATAATATGAAATCGATTATCTATTTCAAAATTAGAAAAATTGAAAAATAAAAAATTAAACAGGTTTTTAGTTACAATTTTTACTTGTAAAAATTAAATATTTTAAATATTTAAATGCAATGTTTTTATAGTTACTCTTGTTATTTCATTCCCAATTAATATTCTTGACTCTTATAATCTGACCTTTTTAAGGTTGCGGAATAGAACATTATTATATAAATACTAAGTCCAACAAAAACCCATTCTTTCAGTTTGGCTAATGATAAATGAGGAGATTTTATAGACAAATATTTCAAAAACTCATCATCTTTTATATTTAAAAAAAGTGTTTTTTTTTACAAATAATTCTTTATAAAAAGTAAACTTTAAAAAGTATTTTTTTTTTTCACAAATATATTTAAAGTTTTAGTACTTTATACTATTTATTTTTTTAATTATAGCAATTTAAAATGATTTTATAATTTTATAAACTTCTTATCTATCATTTATAAAAAAAATAAAAATCAATGAACTTAAATTGAAATTTAACACCTAAAACAATTGTTGCAAATTTAAACAAAACAACTTTTTTTCAAAAATATAAAAAAAAATTATTTACTTTCAAAAAGTTCGTCTGTAATAAGGAATGGCCAGACTGAAATTTCACTTATAACATTATTTACAGAAGAAACATTCAAAAGTTTAGATGGATCGAGACCAGATTTAGAAACTGTTGAGCAATCCACATTTTTCAAAATATCGCATAACACTAAACAAATAAGCAAAAAACTAATAAATGATATATCAATGAATTATAATAAAATCAACAAAATAGAATAGATAAAATAGAAAATAGAATATATATTGAAAGTGAAATCTATTTTATACATTTGTATCAAATAAACAACTCCTGAAATTATGTGTTTCAAATATAAAAACATATCAATAAAGTTATATACATATAATATAATATAATATAATATATATACATATATATATATATATATATATATTATATATAATACATATATTATATATATATATATTATATATATATTATATATATATTATATATATATTATATATATATATATATATATATATATATATATATATATATATAAATATATATATATATATATAAATATATATATATTATATATATATATATATATATATATATATATATATATATTATATATATATAATATATATATATATATTATATATATATATATATATATATATATATATATATATATATTTATATATATATATATATATATATATATATATATATATATATATATATATATATATATATATATATATATATATATATATATATATATAAATATATATATATATATAATATATATATAATATATATATATATATATATATATATATATATATATATATATATATATATATATATATATATATATATATATATATATATATATATATATATATATATATATAGAGGCTTACCATAATTTTAGAGTTGTAAAACGGGACAGATAGGTAAAGGTTGGGGGGGGGGGGGTTAGAAAGAGGTTTTGGGGTGCGCTGGGAAGTTATTTATTATAGAGGGAAAAAAAGCTGATATAAATGACTAGAGAGGGAAGGGAGGTTATAGAAATTTGGAGAAATTGTGTTTTTTTATGCTTCAAAAAACAAGGCACTTTGTAACCATATAAATTTTTTTATAAAAAAAAAGAACCTTATTGCTCCAATGATTGAAAAAATACGCTTTTCAGGTGTAGATGTTCCTAGCATTCATAAAATTTATTCAATAACTTTTACTAAATTAAGCCCACCAATGTCTTTTTCTTGAAAGTATTCGAATAATTAGACCCTTTTGTCAACAACAGAAAAATCAGATTTTCAATGAACTCTACTCTTTCTTATTTGAGGCAAGAAATGCTATTGCACTTGACATCTTATCAAATAGACTGTAAAAATAATTTTGTTATCATCTGAACCATAAATATTGTTTATAGCTTCAGCAGATTGATTAATATCCTCCCACTTCAGTATGTGATCAAGTCCAATCCATGCAAATATCTGAACCCCATTAATACTGTTTTCCCAAAGTTCAATAAAAGAGATTTTACCTCAGTCATAAATGTATTATTGTCATGGGGACTAAATTTTCTCAGCAACTGTTTTTCTCTTTGTGGGACAGAATTATTATTCATCCATTCTTCAAGATTAGATTTTAATTTTTTTAGTTTTAAAATAATGTCTGTTGCGTTTGCTTTTTTTTTCCATAACTAATAAAGTTTTGTTAAAATTAATTAACTAACAATGCATAAAACTGGAATATAACTCACCTGTTTCACTTTCGAAAATGGCTTGCAAAGCATGAGGACAGACTTCTTGAGAAATAAAGTATGAGTTCAGTGTCTCAAACATATACAAAATTCTTTCAACTGCCAGCAGCAGAGAAAGAAATCTAATACTTTCATGCTGGACTATATTTCTTTATTCCACATCTGCAAAATCACTAAACTCCTTTTACTCAGTTAGTCGAACTGTTTAGATATGAAAATGCTTAAATATTTTCACAACAAGAGCTTCAATTTCTTTGCTGCAATATCTAATTCACCTTCATTGAATCTATTATTTAAAAAAAATAATCTTTTAATAAATGAAAAACATGCGGCAGCTGAGAAGTTAGGTTTGCATTTGGCACACTTTAAAAAACTTGTCTGTTTGTTCACCATGTGCAACAGAAAATTTTGTTAAACATTACTGACAGCACTTTGTTGTCCTCACCACTAAATTTTTATAAACAGGTTTATGAAAAAAAAACAAGTACTTTTGAAGTTCATTTGTAACTTGTAACTTTAATTCGAATTTTAACAAAAAAAAAAAAAAATTGCTTCTTATACTCATAAAGCCAACGGGTTGCGTTCTTTAGATTCATTCAAAATAAGATTTTGAATTTTTGATATAAAGCAGACCTAGAATGTTATTGCTAGTATTTGTGTTAATAAAAAAATATTATAATTATCTTAGTCAGATTTTTATTAAAAATCCAAAATCCTGAGTTTTGTTGGAGACAAATAGTAAAATTTTTATTGATTTTTTCACAAAAACGAGACAAAATGTAAAATTTTGGGACACTGGCATAAAAATGGGACGATCCCGGTCAAAACAGGGCGTATGGTTAGCCTATATATATATATATATATATATATATATATATATATATATATATATATATATATATATATATATATATATATATATATATATATATAGAGAGAGAGAGAGAGAGAGAGCTCGAAATAAGCGCCAGACATCAGACATGGTCCAGCACTTATTATTATTATTACAAATTATTAATAACTTCAGTATTGTATAAAATTTATTTTTAAAATTTTTTATTTTTTATACAAAATAAAATTGAAGTTGATAACACTGCTACGTTAATAAAATAGATAATGTTTTTGAGTTAATTCATTTTTTTAAGTTAATTCATTACATTTTTTTGAACTAAGTAGCCTGGTTTTTATCACTCAAATTAAAACATTGCAATTAGTTAATAATTTAAATATATATATATATATATAAATTTATAGTTTAGTATTTATTTATCTTTTTTCAGATGGTTTTTATAAATTTCAAACAAATATTTTAGCTTAGAAAACCTCTTTCAAATTTACTATATAAAAATTTTAACGCATTAGTTATTTTAATGCTTATAGAAACCAGTGTTTTTTATGACTTAATGACATTTAAATTGTTACATAACGTTTTTTTTAAATAATTTATGTATTTAATAGTTTACAATGCATTTCGCATGATATAGTAATTTTTAAAAAATGTAATAAAAATACATTTTCCTTTTCAAATTTTAGTTTTTTGATCTTTTTGGATAGATAATCTTTTTTTTTGATAGATAATCTATTTTCTTATTATTTACAGCGCATTTAGAAACACCTATAGTTGTCAAAACAAATTACGCGGTCAATTGTAAAAAGAAAACATTTTAAGCATGTTCATGAATGGCATTCAATCGCACTTCTTCAATTTTTTATCGGACATGTCCGGCAAACTTAAGTCTTTATCTGACAAATTGTCCGGTAGAAAAAAGTTTGTTATTTTGAGCTCTCTCTCTCTCTCTCTCTCTCTCTCTCTCTATATATATATATATATATATATATATATATATATATATATATATATATATATATATATATATAAATATTAGCAGTAAGCAACCCGTAATACCAGTTGTTAGTAAATAAAATTAAAAAAAAACCACATATAGAAAAGCCTATAAACTACTTTAAAATAGAAAAGCCTAGAAAATGACATAAGTTGACTATTAACTACTATTAAATTAGCGTATTAATGTATATAAATAAATATATATATATATATATATATATATATATATATATATATATATATATATAAATATATATATATAAGACTAGGTCAGCCCAAAGTGGACAAATTATGTCTCTATAACCATTGTCAAGTCGACAATTTTCATAAGTCGACAAATTTCCTGTCGACTTTACGTTTGAATGAATTTTAGTAACGATTAGTTCAATGGAAATTAAAAAAAAAAGATACCGTTGTAATGTCTAAATTATACTTAAGAGATTTCTATGAAAAACATTAACAAAAAAAAAATGCAGAAAACTATAAACAGTAACTTTTTTTATATACTCGTATATATACTCGTGTTACATATACGATCTCTAGGTCGATAGTTAAGAAATTGCATTTTTTGTTTGAAATATAAAGATATATTTATTATAATTTTTGTTTAAAATATAGATAAACTATTTAGTTAAAATAATATACGACCAATTAAAAAAAAAAAATTTAACATTTAGACATTATATAATATGTTTTTTTTTCAACTATAAGTAGACTTATTCTACTCGTAAATCATGCGTCAAGTCAACCATAATAAATATATAAACTTGTATTTTAATATTTCTATGTTTTTATAAATTTTTTAAATATAAATATATGTAAAAATGACAAATAAACTTAAAAATATGTGTATAAAATTTATTTTATACTATTTTGTTATACTAAGTTGAAATATATGTGCATGCGTTAAAATCGACAAATTTTCTATTTCTTTTTAAAAAGGCGCTTAATTGATCACTTAAATTTTTTTTCTATACAAATACTTTATCTACGCAACATCTGTTAGTGAAAATTGTCGACTTATGGTGTAAAAAATAATTGCTGTCGACTTTAAGTAGACCCAGGCTTATATATATATATATATATATATATATATATATATATATATATATATATATATATATATATATATATATATATATATATATATATATATATATATATATATATATACACACAAATTATTATGTCTATAAACATTTGATATTAAGAAGTTTAAAATCTTGAACAGAATATTTATAAATTAAACTCTACCATTGCTACATCTTTGTGTATTGCATACTTTAAATTCATAAGAATCACCATCGCAGCCTATGCAGGCTCCATAGCAAGCTATTGTTGTGTTTACTCTATTGCAAGATCTATATCTCAAAGCATACCCACCATTGCATGAAAAAGAGCATGGAGTCCAAGCTTCCCATGAAGTCCACTGATATACTAAACAGAATTTACAATTTGCAATAAAAATAAACTTTATGCATAAAACACTTACAACTATTGCATAAAACATTCAATAACAAACTTTGACTACAATAATACATACAAAAAAAAAAAGTATTCAATAATTTTAATAGAGTAGAAAGCTTCTCAAACTAAAATCATTCTGGCTGATTAAAAAAAAAAAATTCTTTCAAAAATTATAATAAACTTCAACTAACAAGATCTCTATCTCTAAAGATCTCTTAAGTCAGTAAAAAGTAAATACAGCAACTGTTGTCGGTCGGTTTGTTGTTAACTGTAGTTTGATGAAGTGGCCCAGGATCATGTCATAAATAAAAAAACACAATTTACCGCATAAAATTTTCTTTATTATAATAATTATTATAATAAGTATTTGCCCAGGTTTTAGCTTTAAAAAATGATGTGTATAGAATAGTTTTGGCTGCTTATGTTTGTTTTTGTAACTGTAAGGTCAGCTTAGACATATATTAAATATAAGTCCCCACCAATTTTTTGCAATGTCTCAAAATACTGTTTTATCTCAAACAACATTAATTAAAAGTTTTTTATGTTCATTTTTATAAAAAATCAAAAAAATTAGTAAAACTTGTTTTTAGTCACACATTAAAAAGTAAAAATAAAAAATTTGCAAGTAAAAACAAAAAATTTGCAAGTAAAAAGAGCTTAGACCTGTTATAGTTGTTCCAATTTGTGCTCTAAGCACACAGATAAACTTGAGTATAATGTAAAGATATATCTAAGATATATGTAACACATTTTAAATGGTATATTATAACTGCTGGAGTTCTCAAAATAATTGTGTACTCTAATAACTGTTGTCCAAATAAGTCCAGGAAAGCAGAAATAAAAATGTTAAGTTTTCAAAAATACTTTTTTTTTTCCTTTTGAAAAAAATTTTTACAAGTGAAAGAAAAATATTGCTCTTTTTATCACTTCATCACTAATATATAAAATAATAAAAATAAAAAGAATAAAAAAAAGCAAGCTTTTTCTCTGAATCATTTGTTTATACTATACATATTGTTTATTTCTAAGTTAAAAGAAATGATGTTTTTTGTAGTCACTACATGTTATTGTGGCCGCATTGATGACTTGGGATCTGAAATAAATCTACATATATAAGAGAAATTTGTATGTTCATGCTATATGCAGTGATAGAAAAATATAATGGGACAACCAATTGGCGAATTTCAATAAAACTTGCCAGTTGATTCATAAAAAAATAACTTTTTATTTAAAAGATTTTTTTTTTTTTAATTGTTAGTATAATTTTTATAAAAAAATGCATTTGAGAGTTATATTAGATTTTTCAAAAATCTTATTTAATAATAAGTGAACATATAAATATTTTGACTAAATTCTCTGGAAAAAAATAATGGGACACACAACATAAATAATTTATTAAGAGGACTTATGGTAGAAATAATATTTTGTGTGACCTCTTATAGCTTTTATAATAGCATTTAAATATTTTGGCATAAATTCTGTTTGTTTTTACTTTTGTTTCAGACCATTGCCATATTGAAATATAAAATTTCTACCTAAACTTAAATTATGCGCTGATGAAGTCAAATTATTATTCAAAATACCAATGTACATATCCAAATTAATTGTATCTTTGATAAATTCAAAATGTCTAACACCATTCCACAACATACAGCCCCATTATATTACCACCTCCATGTTTTACAGTTCCTTGCGTGCAACTTAAATGGTACGCTTCACCAGTTTTTCTCCAAACATTTTGTTTACCATCAGAATGTACCAAATTAAATTTGGATTCATCCAACCACAGTATTCTCTTTAAAATTTTGAAAATTTCCGGAAATTTTGCAGAAATTTTCAACACTAATTTTAATGTAAACAATTTTGGATTGTTTTATCAGTTAAATTATTTACAGTTTGGTGAATTTCAAACTTTTTACAATGTTTAAAAGGGTGAAAAGTGGAACTCTAATCTCTTTTTTGATAGTTCTGTAAGTATTTTTTTGTTTAACAAAATACACAATTAATTTTTGTTGATTGTTAGTCAAGTATTGTTTTGCTGGAGCCATGATTGCTAAAATATAGTTTTTTCTCCTAAATATTTCATAAAACAATTTTTTTGAGAAAAAAATAGTGTTTAACTTTCAGAAAATTATTAGTATCTTACAAAACAAATTAGAATTAAGATATTTTTAATGAAAAACAATTTGTCACATTTAATTTTTACGCATAAATTAACAAAAAAATCAAACACATCTAATTTTATTGATTAAAAATATACAAATGAGTCAACTTTGTCATCTAAATTATGCAACATTGATTGAATAACATTTTAAATTGTGTAACATTTGTTTTTCTGTGTCAAACGATTCAGATAAAAGCAAAAGAGTACTGTTATTTGGAATAAGAACAGACAATACAAGATTATAGCTAACAGATTACTAGCTAACAGATTACTAGCTAAGCAGCGTTATTTTTGTCCCAACATTTTTTTATCAGCATTTTATATTTTTTCAACACTGTATATAGGTACACAAATAAATAATGCAAAAAGTAATTACTATTCTACATATGCTAAATTTTATACTTTAGGTCCTTGATTTGCTACTCTACAAGTTTATGCCATCCACCCAAAGCTATCATTACAACAAGCCTTGCAATCTTGAAAATTTTTCTAACCAATTATTTTTTAATTGAAATTTTTTTTTTTTTCGTTATTCTAATTGCAGCTTTAGATAAAAATAAATTTGATTAATTAAACTAAAAGATTCAGATACTAACTTCTATGTTGTCAGCATCGTTAGAATTCTAAGTTGTCAGCATCATTAAAACTGTTAATTTAATCCTTTTGAATATTTTTCACTGATAAACTTGTTTGTGTTGTTATATGTGATTTTGATGTTACAGTAGGAATTTAAATGTTATAAAATATTGTTAGAGGTGCATTTGATTGTTTCTTACCATTATTAATTATTAAATTAACATTTTCAGACCAATTTTTAGAGCATACCACAGTATATTTTGAATCAGGGATATTATCTACTGAACATGCAGTTATCCATTGTTATCCTTTTGGTAAACAATAAGCAAATAGGTAGTTCTTATTTTTTTTTTTCATAGTTAGACAAGAAACACTTTTTAGACGAACGCAACACTTGAGTGCATTCTGTAATTTAAAAAAAATATCTCAGACAATTTATCTTCAAATTTCCGCTGAAAATCAGCCTCTGGTCTTAGCGTTTGATTGTGCGATAGCAAACCTGTTGTAAAGCTTGCATCCACCATGTCACAATATTGCCACAAACTCTTCAAGATTATTAGTAGTATAAAATAAATAATTTATTTTAAATAAATAAAAAATAAGTATGTTGAATGTGTGCATTTTAGGTGTTGTGCATGTAAATGATATTGATCAAAAATGCAACATATATGCTGGTGATTATTTATAATTAAAGATCATTGAAAACTAGACATAAAATATGTCACATGTGCATTTTTTATTATGTCCTTGGTTTGGTGTCATTAATGTATCAATCAACAGTATGATGAGGTAAATACAATAATAACTATATTAAATCTACTAGAATGAATATCATCAGAAACCTCAAACTTCAAGAATGAAAATAATATTTTTTGCCTTAAAATATATATATATATATATATATATATATATATATATATATATATATATATATATATATATATATATATATATATATATATATATATATATATATATATATATATCATAGATTATCCAGGTCATATTTTAAAAATCTGGAAAATCATTAGGGTAAAATATCCGGAAAAATTGGGAATATATTTTCCCTTATATTTCTCTTAATTTTGCTTTCGGCTAATTTTGTTTTTAACTTTTTTTAATTTTGTAAGAGTGATGAGTGAAAAAGCCTATAAAATAAATATATTACAAAAATATCTTTTTCAAACTTGTATGTATGGAAATCATTTTTGATATCCGGAAAAACTAAAAGTTGAGAAAAATATCCGGAATTCCGGAAATATCTGGAATAAGTTAATCCCTGATATATATATATATATATATATATATATATATATATATATATATATATATATATATATATATATATATATATATATAAATATAAATATATATATATATATACATATATATATATATATATATATATATATATATATATATATATATATATATATATATATATATATATATATATATATATATATATATATATATTAACCTAGTTTTTTTCCTTGCACATCAAAAAAACCTTATAACTCTTCGCTATCTTCATGTTTTCTTTTATATACAACTTACAACTTAGCCTGAAGTCTTCAGTTAATCATTTTCTAGTATTTTTACTTAATCTCTATTTTAAAATAACTTAAAACCTAATAGTGGTTGCTTGCAATATTGTTGGAAGTAAATTAGAGTTTGAAAATATATAAATATATGCCAGTATTTAATAAATAGTAAATGTAAGCAAAAAATTATAACATATAAAGAATTATAAATTTAGCTCCGGCTATCAACCCCTGCTAAATCTTATAGTTTTTCCAGGGCTGGGGGGTTTAAAATAGTCTCATTTTTAGCTGGGGCCGGGGCCCTGGTCATTCACTAGACATTGATGCTAGGGGAAATATTGCAACAATAATTTTACACCTTATTTCTCATAATTGTAACTACAAACTGTATGTTGATATGGTTTAACAGCATACTATTAAAAGTTTAAAAAAATGCCTTTGAAGTTGTCCACAATTTAAATCACACAGTTTTTGACCATTTTAGACCCTCTCCCTACCTTGTCACAACATCGCAACACTTTAGTAACAATTTTTGTTCACAAATTCATCACAAAAGCACTAATCCCTCCCTCACCACCCCCACCCTCATAAAGCGTGATGTAATTTATGGATGACCTCCATAAATTACATCATGCTTTGTTTTTTTGTATGTTTTTTGTTTTTTTGTTAACAACACAAAAAAACAAAAAAACATACAGAAGCAGAAATGTTGGTGCCATATTTAAAAAATAACTGTAGTTAGAGGTATCATCCGTTATGTGCTGGTTTGATGTTTTTTTCGTTTGTTGAAAATTTAGCTTATTGTAGCTGATTTTCTTTTATCCAAAAAAAAAGATTTAAATAAGAACACATCTTTCTCAAATATGTTCTAATGGTTCAATAGAGAGATCCTAAATATTACTTTTTCATAGTGGCAGAGCTCAAACATTTTCTTCGTGATGGTCCTTGGGCTGATGTTTTTTCTCTCTCAGCTGACAAATGCGCCTCCTACATAACCTCCTGGATTCAAGCTGGAATGGAAGCTTTTATTCCTTTGTGTCGGTTTCAAGTCAAGCCTCATTCTACTCTATGGTTTTCTCCTTCTTGTGCGGCTGCTATATCCAATCGTAATCATTTTTTTCATCTTTTTCAAAAGAACAACTCTCTTAAGAACAAACGGCTATTTATTATTGCAAGAAATCGATGTAAAAAGGTGCTTTCTGATGCTAAACTCCATTATTCTCAGTTCACTAAATCTTGCATGTTATTGCAGAAGTTAGGCTCTAAAGACTTTTGGAAAATCTTCAACAGCATTATTAACAAGGGTAGATCTAACATTCCATCTCTCATTCATGGGACTGATCTTATTACCTCTCCCAAAGATAAGGCAGAACTATTTGCAAAGAACTTTTCTTCTAATTCCACTCTTGAATCTTATGGACAATCTCTTCCTTCCATTCCAGTCAAACAGGTTGACCCATTGTTAGACATTCAAATCACTCCGGCTTCTGTTGCATGAGTCATATCTCAATTAAACTCGTCTACAGCTTGTGGTCCAGACAACATTCCTGTCACAGTCTTGCAGAATTGTTCTCCAGAACTTTCTTCAATTCTCTCTAAACTATTTAACAAGTGTTTGACTGAGTCTTGTTTTCCTGCTTGTTGGAAAATGGCATCTGTGGTTCCAATATTCAAAAACTCTGGAGAAAATTATGACCCCTCCAATTATCGTCCGAACAGTCTTCTTTCTGTTATTAGCAAGGTCTTTGAGTCTTTGATCAACAAACTCCTCACATCTCATCTTGAGTCAAATAAACTGCTGTCAGACAATCAATACGGTTTTCGATCCTCTCGCTCTACGGCCGACTTGCTAACTGCTGTAACTGAAAGATTTTATCGTGCATTAGATGGAGGCGGTGAGGCTAGGGCTATTGCTCTCAACATATCTAAAGCTTTCGACAAAGTTTGGCATGCTGGTCTTCTCCATAAGCTTGCTTCATATGGTGTTTCTGGGAAAGTTTTTGAGATTATCAAATCATTTCTTTCTAACCGGTTTATTAAAGTCATCCTTAAAGGCCAACACTCTTCTTTATTTCCAGTAACTTCTGGGGTTCCCCAAGGTTCCATCCTGGGCCCTGTTTTGTTTCTTATCTACATAAACGATCTTCCTGAAAACCTTTCATCTAAAGTAGCTCTTTTTGCTGATGACTCAACTTTATACTCCTGTCTTGACAAAAAGTCTTTTCTTTTTTCGATCGCCTAGAACAAGCAGCTGATCTTGAATCTGATCTCACTTCAGTAATAGATTGGGGTTCACAGTGGCTTGTGAATTTCAACTCTAAAAAAACCCAATTGCTTACTGCAAACAACTACCGTAATTTGGTCAACATTCCTATATTAATGAATGGCAATCCTCTTACTACTGACCTTTCATGGAAACCTTATATACAATCGATTGCTAAATTAGCTTCTGCTAAGAATGCTTCTCTTTATCATGCTCGCCATTTCCTTACTTCTGATTCCATTCTCTACCTCTACAAATCTCTTATTCGTCCCTGTATGGAATACTGTTGTCATATTTGGGCTGGTTATTCTAACGATTCACTTTCTCTTCTTGACGCATTGTAAATGTTGTTTGACCTGGACTATCTGCTAAGCTTGAACCTATTTCCCATCGTCGTAAAGTTGCATCTCTTTCTCTTTTCTACAAATACTATCATGGTCACTGCTCAAAGGAGTTATCATCTCTAGTTCCATCAACTAAAATTCATTCTCGTTTTACTCGTCATTCAGCTAAGTCTCATTCGTTTACTGTATCTGTCCCTGCATGCTCTAAAAACTTTTATTCATCTAGTTTTTTTCCCCGCACTTCAATCCTTTGGAACTCTCTCCCATCTTCATGTTTTCCTGACTCATACAACCTTCAACTTCTCAAGTCTTCTGTCAACCGTTTCCTTGCTCTATAACTCTGTTCTTTTTTTTCTTAGTAACTATCAACTTAATACTGGTTGCTTGCAGCCTTGTTGGGAGTGAATGCAAATAAAAAAAAAATAAAAAAAAAAATCCTTTTTCATATCATCCAATAAATCCTTGAAAATATGTTAAGTATCACTATCTGTTATACTATTAATCTTTATTTCCCATTGGAGAACCAAAAGGTTATGATAAAAACTTTGCCGCTTTATTATGTTGAACCAAAATTTACAAATCTTTGTAAATGATACAGTTTAAAAAAAATTTTTAGGCACAAAAAGTACTATACCTGAAACATGTATTTACTTGTTTTGTTTTGTATAATCAAACTTTATTTTTAATATTTTATTTTTAATGAAAAAAAAATTATTAAGTTTATTCAATATACAGACGATGGCCATTTTATTGCTATTTTTAATGTATTAAAAATAGCAATAAAAGACAGAAGCAAACAATAATGAAAAAACTATTTTTAATTAAAAAAAATAAAAGATTATTGTCAACATACCAGCACCATTACAATTTTGAATTGTTGAATTAATTAGTGCATAATAACTTTGAAGTTGAAACAGTGATGCATTTACAAAAGCATATTGGCTAACAGCTGTACCACAGAAATCTAAGAGGCTTTGTTGAATTAATGAGTCATTGCTACAAGCAACAATATAATTTGCTATGTTGATGAACTAAAATCATTAAAAATATACATTAAAATATATAGCTTAGCAAATAAACTAACATATAACTTGTTGCATATTTATCAAAGCATTTATAGTAAATTATATAGTCAAACATGTATATCAAAGCATTTATATCAGAATATATAATGTATACCACAAAAGCACACCAATAAAAAATCAGGATTAAAACAAAACAAAAAAACGGGTAAAAAAATTTGAAAAACTAATAAAGAATTAACTTTTTTTTTCAAATAAATTTAAATCAAAAATTATAAAAAATAAAAAGTACAGTAGATTTTTAAATTTGTTTCATTATCAGTTCCATTATTATTATTACTACACTCTTAATTTAAGAAATATTACTGTTTTGGTGTTAACATAACATCAAACAACATTTTTTGAAAGTTATTTAAGCAAATAGTTTAAATTTACACCATTTTGGTGTGATTGTACACTCTGAAGATTAATTTTGAATGAAACGGTATAAAATAACACCTTTTTTTATTCACAAACTGTTTTAAAAAGGTGTAAAAATCAAATATTGTGAAGTTTTTTTTTCTTTTCACCTCTTAATAAAACAATGTAAAACAATATAAAGCTGTTTCACATTTTTTTCCAAAATTATAATTTTTACACCGTTACATTTTTTTACAAAAATATAAGTTTTACACCGTTTTACAAAACAGTGTTTATCATAAAACAGTGAAAAGTTGCTTATAAAACAGCTTTGTATCGATTAATAAAAAGGTGTATTAAATAACTATGTTTCAATATTTGATGATATATAGTTGTTTTAATTAGTAATTACAGATAATACGCTAGTAAAAACGGATGAGAATCAGTAATTACTGATAATAAGCTAGTAATAGCTGATAAGATTAGTAACTACTTATAATAAGCTAGTAATAACTAATAAGAATTAGCAATGACAATTAATAAGCTAGGAGTAACTGATAAGAATTAGTAATTACTGATAATATACTAGAAACAAATTATAAGAATTAGAAATTAATAATACAAAGCTAGTAATAACTACGAGGGTTGTTTAATAACTAATGAGACAAATTACTATTACTCAAAAATGATTTATTTAATCAGTACAAAAATTTCGTTACTTTTCAACATAGTTCCCAGCAACACTTCAGGCCTTGTTATAAAACTACAAAACTGTGTTATAAAACTACGTAACTGTGCGCCATAATCAACGTGCTAAGCCATTTAACATAAGCGGTAAGCCATTTAACATAAGCGGTAAGCCATTTAACATAAGCGGTAAGCCATTTTACATAAGCCATTTTTTATTATTTTTTAATATTCAAACAAGTCTGAACAAATCATTTAGGCGGTAAGATAGAAAAAAAGTAATTAATCTTATAAAAACCACTCATGAAGTTTGAACAACATTTACGTAAGAAAATTTGCATGACAACTTCATTCGCTCTATTAACTTTAAAAAAAAAAAAAAAAAATTTATTTTTATTTATCTAACTTTTTCAACAAAAATGTTCAGTAAAAGAAAAAAAAAAAGATGTTTAAAGCGCATAAAAAATGAAATCATGAAATAAATATAATAAATTTTTTATTTATTTATCATCTTGCAAGAGCAAGAATATTTGTTTACTTCTCATAACAATAACAAAAATAATTACTGCATTAAAAAAAAAAAAAAAAATTACTAGCTAAAAAATAGTATACATTAAATTATAATTTAATATTAGCTCTGCTTTTGATACTTTAAATTTTAGTTATTTATTTGTTTTTTTATAATGATTGATTTTATCAATAAAAAAAAAAAAAAAAAAAAAAAAAAATGAAAAACATTAACTATTACAAACTTTAAATGACAATTATATAGACTTTTTTTTTAATAATTAAAAAAAATTCTTTTATGGATATATTATATCTATTATTAAGTTTTTTGCTTGAATTTACGCTTGCAACAATATAACTCTTGCAATGTCTTTATATTTATAAGTTTTTTTTTGCAAATAATAATAGGTTAGAAAAATGATATTTTACAATAATTCAGCATCAGTTTTACATGCTTAGACAGGAATGACGCGCGATCGAGTGCTATTGCTGACCACGCAAACGATTTTTTTTTTGACAACTTGACCACGACTGTTTAGAAACTTTTTTAGAAAAGCGCTAAAAAAAGAAACGCTAAGCTAAACTTTCAAAAAAAAAACTAAAGAAAATAAAGAAATAATTCCTTACGAAAAAGAAAATGTAAATACATTAAAATAAAACTCAAAAAACTTAAACTCAAAGCAAAAATTACTTTAAGTTTTTTGCTTGCAAAAATTACATTTTAATTGTGATTGGAATAAATTATTGAAAACTTATCTTTAAAAATTTTTTATTTAAGTTAGGTAAAACGCTTTTACAAATTACTTCTAATTTTCATTTAATGAATAAACAAATCTTATTTAAATTATTAAAAAGTGTTATATTTATTATTTTTAAATTGTATAAACATTTATTTTATCAAAAAATTAAAAAAACAAATTGTTAAAAAAATAATGTAGTCTTTTTAAAATAGTAATTTTTAATTATTTCATGTTCTAATTAGTTAGTCAAGTTTGAGAAAAAAAAGAGGTTTAAATTAATTCTTTGTATAAATAGAAAAAAAAAAAGGAAAGCAATTAAATCATTCCATTGCAGCGAGAAGATTGAATTTAACTTACTCATATTTTAACGTAAAAGAATAATTTTTTAAAAGATTTTTAAAAAAACATTGAAAAATATTTCAAATGTTTAATTAATTATAAAAAGTACACAACATAAAAAATTTTTTTAAACATTTAAAACATTTTTTGTTAATGACAGACAATGTGTTTATTTTAAACAACTATTACAATTATTTTTTTATTTTATTTAAAGCTTTTGCGTAAAATAAAAACTTAAGAAAAGATGAATGATTAAAAGTTATTCATAATGCAGCAAATTTTTTAATTGCTTTTAAATTGTTAAAACGCCAAAACAGCTGTGGTTAAATTGTAAAGAAGAAAAATTATGATTGTGGTCAGTTACAGAGTACAATCACACACCATTCCTGTCCAAGCCTGGCTTTATATAATTAACAGATTGTGTGATATCAAAAAAGTGAAAACAGAATTAAAAAAAAAAGAAGCTTTTCTTCTATTGGTTTTTCTTCCTCCTTTTCTAAATTTTACAAAAAATTAAATTACTTGTAAACATGTTATAACATATTGCATTGCTGCAATCAAAAATATTCATAAAGCGTATGTTTAACTTTTTTGTCTTAAGGCAAGTGAAAGCGCAAAGGTATATATTTTTTAATAAATGGTACATGGAGAGAGCTGAGCTTTTTTTCTTTGCAACAAGTAATATTTTTTGTTTGTTAATAACTTTTTAAAAGTAAAAAATCATTATTTGTAAAGCTTGTTTTGTTTGTTAATAACTTTTTAAAAGTAAAAAATCATTATTTGTAAAGCTTGTTTTGTTTGTTAATAACTTTTTAAAAGTAAAAAATCATTATTTGTAAAGCTTGTTTTGTTTGTTAATAACTTTTTAAAAGTAAAAAATCATTATTTGTAAAGCTTGTTTTGTTTGTTAATAACTTTTTAAAAGTAAAAAATCATTATTTGTAAAGCTTGTTTTGTTTGTTAATAACTTTTTAAAAGTAAAAAATCATTATTTGTAAAGCTTGTTTTGTTTGTTAATAACTTTTTAAAAGTAAAAAATCATTATTTGTAAAGCTTGTTTTGTTTGTTAATAACTTAAAAGTAAAAAATCATTATTTTATTCACTATTTCTAAAAATTTGAAAAAATAGTGAATAAAAAATTAGGATATTTTAAATCATTTATATTTATATATATTGAAAAAAAAAAAAGAAATTAATTTATGTTGAATAATAATTAAAAATATTATATTATGTTTAATTATTTAAAATTAAAAAAAAATGAAACAAAATAGACATTCCACAATATGTACATTTACAAAATAACAATTCTAGATTTGTTTTTCTTAATTAGTACATTAAACTTATTTTACTGTAATTTATTTTATTGCAGTAGTTAAAAGTTAAAAAATGTCCTTTAAAAAAAAAAAAAAAGATAATTTTATGGCGTCAAAATCAAGAAGAGCGTTTTTAATAATTTTATGAGGTCAAAAGCATGAAGAGCGTTTTTTATTCAAAACAAGGCCTGCACTAGTCTCATTTTTCTAATAATTTGTAAATGCTGTTGGCATAAATTCTTTGGGTTATTCTCGAAGCCACTTTTGCACCTGATTTTTAAACTTTAAAGGTCTGATTTTTTGAGCATTGAATTGTTTTTATTGTAGACCCTCATTAAAGGGTCAAAACAGATGGAAGTCTGATGAGGCGAGTTTAGAGCTGTATGGGAAATGTTGTAGAATCTCACACTCCAGTTTTTAAAGTTCTTATTTAATCAACTGTGTTATATGAGAACGGGCATAGTCATGAAGAAAAATCACAACTTCAGTCATAAGTCAGCCAGGTTTCATTCAAAAGGCAGGTCTTACTTTGTTTTCTAGCTTGTTATTGTAATAATGGCTGTTGATTGTTTTTTGGCCTTCAAGAAAAGCACAATAAAATGACCACTAAAAATTACAGAATAATGTAAACAAGACTTTACCAGTTGATGGTTGGGTTCTGAATTTTTTCCCATGGGCTTAAATAGTATTCCACCGCTCAAGGCTCTGTTTTTTGTCTGGTGTTGTCCTCAATTAATACATTAATCTGAGATTTTAGAGAGAGAGTCTCAACTTAGAGTGTTCTATCACTGCATTACTCATCTTCATCAAAAGAAACTTTTGTACCCATTTGAATGATTCAAAAAAAATTTCTTTGTACCTTTTTAACATTCTTTCATGGATTTTACTACTTTTTTCGCAACTAAATATCTGACCAGGGCACATTGTTCTTCTACAGATGCAATTCTCAAGTGATTGTTAAATGAGTAAATTTGAGGTTTACAAAATATGATTAGCTTTTGTAATTGCAAGGTTGCTAATTTT